TTTGGGGGAGAGATTAGGGAAGAGTTTCAAAAGCCCCCCCCCCCTTCCAGGAGGGATCCTGTGGCTTTCAGAAGGCACGGAGGAGCCCCTTTTAACGACGGTTTTCCCCGGAAGACAGAACTAGGAGCTCAGCAAAATTGGAGGGCTGAGTCAACTGGGCAACCCAGTATGCCCAGCTGACTGGCTGTGGGGGGAGGGGGGATCAGGCAGAGATCATAAAGGCAGAGATGGGAGGAGAGGGCAGATGGAGGGGAAATAATCTGCTGAGAGACAAAAAAAACAACAACAACCCCAAACCCAGAATTTTTGAGAGAAACAAAAGCTTTGGGCTTTAAGGAGTTTTTCCTTCTGGCAGGCTTTGCGTTTCCTTCTGAAAGGATGGATTTTTTTTTCCAGCTTTTTAGACCAGTGGTTCTCAACCTTTTTAATGCCGCGATCCCCAACCGGTCGTAAGTCGAGGACTACTCAACTGGTCGTAAGTCGAGGACTACTCAACTGGTGCAGCACCATTTGCAGAATGGGACTTTTGGCCGGTTCAGCAGGGCAGAGACAGCCTGGACAATTCCTATTGGCTTTTGAAAGCCAATAGAATTAGACTCTATTCAAGAGAGTCTATTCGATTGGCTTTCAAAAGCCAATAGAATAAAAGGGAGTAGCACAGCTAAGGAAAAGGGGAAAAAAATGGCGGACTGCATTGTTTGGCAACCCCCGTGAAATGGTCGTTCGGCCCCAAGTGGGGTTCCGACCCACAGGTTGAGAACCACTGTCTTAGACAGTGTTTCTAAACCTCGGTGACGTGAGGAGGGGTGGACTTCAACTCCCAGGCTGGGGAATTCTGGGAGTTGAAGTCCACTCCTCTTCTAGTCACTGGGGTTCAGAAACATTGTTCTGAAAGCTCCAATTTTTAAAAAGGTGACCAAAGTGGTGCAAATTTTGGTCAAGCAGGAGAGGTCAACCCAGATAATCTCTGCCACCAACCCTGGGCATTGCCTTTTTCGTTCTGCCTGTGCTACCTTGCAGGATCGTTGGAGGAGAGCTGACCCAAGGCTGACCCGAGACTAGAACTCACTGTCCCCTAGTTTGGGAACTAGACCAGAGGTCTTCAAACTTGGCCCTTTGATGACTTCTGGACTTCAACTTCCAGAATTCCTCAGCCAGGCACGCTGGCTGAGGAATTCCGGAAGTTGAAGTCCACAAGTCATCAAAGGTCCAAGTCCGAAGACTCCTGCTTGTGGACTTCAACTCCCAGAATTCCTCTGCCACGCACGCTGGCTGAGGAATTCCGGAAGTTGAAGTTCACAAGTCATCAAAGGCCCAAGTCGGAAGACCCCTGCTTGTGGACTTCAACTCCCAGAATTCCTCAGCCGGGCACACTGGCTGAGGAATTCTGGGAATTGAAGTCCACAAGTCATCAAAGGGCCAAGTTTGAAGAGCCCTGAACTAGACCAAATCTTCCTACCTAATTGTGGCCATTTCTATATTTTTAAACCTGAAACCACTTTTAAGTCTAGAGAGGCAGTAGTGCCAATAAATAAATGAAAGGAAATAAAATCAAATATTCCTGACTTGTCTTCGAATCAGATACGGCTGAGGGAGCTTCTGTTTTGGGCGAACAAATTTTATTGAAGAGTTGAGGCATTTGTGCTGAGCTGCAGCTCGCTTCGACAGATCACGACAGCCGAGGCCTTCGCCTTTTTTCTCTTCAAAATCTTATTATGAGATTAAAAAATACAAAAGGAAGCTGGCTTTGGAAGGCCGAGAGAAAGAAGGAGAAAAGGGCAAAAAAGGAAAAGAAGGGAAAAAAAGTCATGTTTTCATGCTTTTTTCAGGGCAGAAGAATCCGAAACAACATTTTTTAAAAAAATAAAATAAAATAAAAATAAAAATTGCCGCGTTCCCCCGTGGTCATGTGATCAAAAGTCAGATGCAGTTGGCAACTGACTCAGATTTATGACAGTCGCAGTGTCCCCGGGATCACGTGATCCCCTTTAGTGACCTTGTGACTAGCCAAGTCCACGAGAGACTAGATTCACTTAACAACCGTGATACTGTGCAGCGATCCACTTAACGACTGTGGCAAGGAAGGTCGTAAAGCGGGCCAAAACGCCCTTAAGAAACATTTCACTTAAACACAGCAGAAATTTTGGGCTCAGTTGTGGTCGTACATTGAGGACTACCTGGAATTAAAGGTGACTTGTGACCGTTTTTCACCGTTAACGGCCGTTGCAGCATCCCCCAGGGTCACGTGATCAAAATTCAGACGCTTGGCAACTGACATGTACTTATGACGGTGGCAATGTCCCGGGGTCGTGTATGATCCCCTTTGGCGACCTGCGGACAAACCGGCCTCGTTTAACGACCGTGTGACTAATTAACATCTGCGGTGATTCGCTTAACGACTGTGGCAAGAACGGTTGTAAAATGGAGCAAAACTCGCTTAACGACTGTCTCGCTTAGCATTCTGGGCCCAATTGTGATCGTACGTTGAGAACTTCTAGAAACAAAGCGAGATCATTTTTTTTTCTTGAATGAAAGCGGTCGGTTTTGCCACTTCTGAGGGCTTTTGCTGTTCCGCAAAATGGCCGAGTTTTGATTTTTTGGGGGCTACAATCAGGCCACACAACTTTCCTCCTCTGGGGAGCGTCTTCTACCTTGCTTCACAGGGCGCATGAATGCAAACTCATACTTCTGGAATGCGTTTCCTCCAGGTAGGGGATTTTTAAACCGACAACAATGCTGTTTTGATCACCGTTGCAAGGGGCTGGTTCACTGGATCCCAGCCGCACCCATCTGGCAGGCCTTCACCTTTGTCCTCGCTCTTTGTCTCAAAAGCACAGCTAAAATAATAGGTGTGCATGCCCATGCTGCAGGCGTTATCTGTTGTTATATATAATTACATTTGTTTATTTATTATAGTTTTCGCCTGCCTTAATTATTGTAGAGGTAAGTCGAGGCGACAAGCATTCAGAATACAGTGTTCCTTTCTCCTTCTTTTCCCACCATGACGACAGCCCTGCGAGGTGGGCTGGGCTGAGAGAGGGACTGGCTCCAAACCACTCAGCCGGATTTTGTGCCTAAGGCGGGACTAGAACTCACCGTCTCCTGGTGATTGGCCCCTAGTCACCCAGCTGGCTTTTGTGCCCAAGGCGGGACTAGAACTCACCGTCTCCTGGTGATTGGCCCAAAGTCACCCAGCCAGTTTTCATGCATAAAAACAAGACTAGAACTCACTTAGTGATCAGCCCAAAATCATCCAGCTGGCTTTCATGCATAAAAACAGGACTAGAACTCACTGTCTCCTGGTGATTGACCCAGAGTCATTCAGCTGCCTTTCATCCTTAAAGTGGGATTAGAATTCACCGTCTCCTGCTGATTGATCCAAAGTCATACCATCTATAGCTGCACTGGACTTACGTCTTTCTCAACCTGGAGATGGGCAGACTTCAACTCCCAGAATCCCCCCAGGCAGCTTAGCCACTGCTGAGAACTCTGGGAATTGAAGTCCCAGAAATTGTCCAGTTCAGAAAGACTGCTCAAATGAAAGAATAAGAGAGAGAGAGTTACTGCTGATGTCTTTGTCAAGAGCGAAAGATACCGTAAAATACTCAGTGCCGTTCCTATAATACGTTGAACATAATTTTCCTACTGGGGATCTGTTACTACTTGTTCCCGTTTAATCACAGGCTAAAGGCCGTTCTATGAATCGAGCATTTTCTTCTACCGTGTTTCCCCCAAAATAAGACCCGGTCTTATATATATATATATTTGGCTCCAAAAGACACATTGGGGCTTATTTTTGGGGAAATACAGTAACCATTATTGGTATCCATTTACTGGCCGTTCGGAGTTACAACGGCGCTGGAAAAAAAAGTGACTTATGTGCATTTTTTTCACAGTTAACGACCCTGCGGCCTTCCCGTGGTCACGTGATCAAAATTCGGATGGCAACTGGCATGTACTTATGACGGTTGCTGGGTCCCAAGGTCACGTGATCCCCTTCTGCGACCTTCTGCCCAAGGGGGAAGCCAGATTCACTTAACAACCGTGTTATTGACTTAACCTATGCAAGGATTCACTTAACAACCATGGCAAGTGGGGCAAAACTCCCTTAACAACAAGTGTCTTGCTTAGCAACAGCAATGTTGGGCTCCCTTGTGGTCGTAAATCAAGGACTGCCTGCATTCATTATTTTCACTAAAAAAAATGATTCTGTCTTGCCCCCTTTTTACTATCCTCCCCCTCTCTCTTATCCTCCCTCCTTCCTTCCTTTCCCTCCTTCTTCTCCTGCCTGCCCCTCTTTTTCTCCTACCTCTCTCCTTCCCTCTTTTTTCCCTTCCTCTCCCCTCTCTTATCCTCTCTCCCTCCCTTTCTCTCCTCCTGCCTGCCCCTTTTTCTCTCCCTACCTCTCTCCTTTCCTTCTTTCCCTTTCCCTCTCTCTTATCCCCCCTCCCTCCCTTCCTTTCCCTCCTTCTGCCTGCCCCTCTCTTTTTCTCCTCTCTCCTTTCCTCCTTCTTTCCCTTCCTCCCTCTCTCCCTCCCTCCCCCTCCTTCTGCCTGCCCCTCTCTTTTTCTCCTACCTCTCTCCTTCTTTCCCTTCCTCCCCCTTCTCTTATCCTCCCTCCCTCCTTCTGCCTGCCCCTCTCTTTTTCTCCTACCTCTCTCCTTTCCCTTCCTCCCCCCCTCTCTTATCCTCCCTCCCTCCCTCCTTCTGCCTGCCCCTCTCTTTTTCTCCTACCTCTCTCATTCCCTTCCTCCCCCTCTTATCCTCCCTCCCTCCCTTCCTTTTCCTCCTTCTGCCTGCCCCTCTCTTTTTCTCCCTACCTCTCTCCTCCTCCCCTCCTTCTTTCCCTTCCTGCCCCTCTCTCTCTTATCCTCCCTCCCTCCCTCCTTCTTCTCCTGCCTGCCGCTCTCTTTTTCTCCCTCCCTCCAGACCGGCCTGGCCTCGCCCTCTCTCCCTCCCTCCTCCGAGGGGAGCCTCTGCCCGCCCCCTTAATTGGAGCCAGAGCCCGAGGCGGATCCGGCTCCAGAAGGGCCGGGCTCAGCGATCCGAGCGAGGCGGGAGCGGCGGGGCCAGGAGGCGGCGCGGGCGAGAGAAACTCTTCCAGCAGCCGCCGCAGCCGCAGCAGCAGCAGAAACTCCGCCGCGCTCCTTCGGCTCTGCCGTCCTGCCTTCTTGCCCGCCTTCGAGGCCGAGCGACCGCGCGATGTGGCCGGCGCCGCCCGCCCTCCTCCGGCTGCTGCTGCCGCTCGCCTGGGCCTCCTGCGCCCTGCCCGCCGCCGCCCCCCCGCAGTTCAGCCCCGAGGTGAGTGGCGGGCGGTGCTGCCGGCTCCGCTCCGGCCGCCTTGCCCGACGGTGCCCCGCCTTGGCCGGGCTCCGGCCGCCCTGCCCGACGCCGCTCCGGGCACCGCCAGCCCCGCCGGCCCGGAGGGCGATGGGTTTGAGGGAGGGAGGGAGGGAAGGCGGCGGGGAGGCGGTCGTCCTCAAGTGGGGTCGTTTTCTGGGCTGCCGTCTTGGGCTGCCGTCCTTTTCTCTCCTGGCCGCGCGCGTCTCTCTCTCCTGAGGCTCCCCGGTTTGGTTTGAGGGAGTTTGATCGGCTCCCGCAACTCCCTTCCTCCTTTCCTTTCCTCTGTCTCCCTTCCCTTCCTCTCATCTTCTTTTCCTTTCTTTTCCTTTCTTCTTTTCTATCTTCTCTTCTATCTTCCTTTCTTTTCCTTTCTTTTCGATCTTTCCTTCCCTTCTGTCTTCCTTTCTTTTCCTTCCTTCTTTTCTATCTTCCCTTCTGTCTTCCTTTCTTTTCCTTCTTTTCTATCTTCCCTTCTGTCTTCCTTTCTTTTCCTTCTTTTCTATCTTCCCTTCTGTCTTCCTTTCTTTTCCTTTCTTCTTTTCGATTTTCCGTTCCTTTCTTCATTTATAACTCCTTTCTTCTTTCCTATCTTCCCTTCCCTTCTATCTTCCTCTCTTTTCCTTCCTTCTTTTCTATCTTCCCTTCCCTTCTATCTTCCTTTCTTTTCCTTTCTTCTTTCCTATCTTCCCTTCCCTTCTATCTTTCTTTCTTTTCCTTTCTTCTTTTCTATCTCCCCCTTCTATCTTCCTTTCTTTTCCTTCCTTTTCTATCTTCCCTTCCCTTCTGTCTTCCTTTCTTTTCCTTTCTTCTTTTTGATCTTCCGTTCCTTTCTTCATTTATAACTCCTTTCTTCTTTCCTATCTTCCCTTCTATCTTCCTTTCTTTTCTTCCCTTCTAACTTCCTTTCCTTTCTTCTTTCCTATCTTCCCTTCCCTTCTATCTTCCTTTCTTTTCCTTTCTTCTTTTCTACCTTCCTTTCCTTTTTTCTAACCTTTTCCTTTCTTCCTTTATAGCTTCCTTTCTTTTCTCGTTTTCTCTCTCCCCTTCTTCCCTTCCCTTCTAATTTCCTTTCTTCTTTTCTATCTTTCTTTCTTCCTTTCTTTTCCTTTCTGCTTTTCTAATTTCTTTTCTTCTTTTCTGTCTTCCTCTCCTTTCCTCTCCTCTGATTTGTCCCCCCCTTCCTTTCCTTAAGCACACACTCTGCCTTTCTCTCCCCCCCTCCCCATTTTCCTGACTCTTGTCTCTGCCAAGCTTCCCCTCACCTTTTGCACCTCTGCTTTCTCTTTACAGCTGGTTTGCTCGTTTACTCCTCCCTTCTTCTTTTTTTCACCATCCTTTGTTCTTCCCTTTTCTTGGATGAGTTCTGCAGCTGGACGGAGAACTGGCTGTTTCTAGGCCAAGGCGTGCGCCTCTTCTGCACTCCTCCTGCGGCCAACCTCATTTGCGCTGATGGCCTCCAAGTTTGGATTCGCATCGCCCGGATTTCTTTTCTCTTTCCTAGTTTTTTCCTTTCTTTTCCAGCCCACCCCTCCCCCCATCTCTGTGAAAACATGATGTCAGCTGACTTTTTCTTTTTTTCTTTCTTTCCTTTCTTCTATCTTCCTTTCCTTTCCTTTCTTTTCTTTTCATCTATTTTCATTTCCTTTCTTCTATCTTCCTTTCCTTTCCTTCTATCTTCCTTTCCTTTCCTTTCATCTCTTCCTTTCTTTTCCTTTCATCTCTTCCTTTCTTTTCCTTTCCTTTCATCTATCTTCCTTTCCTTTCCTTTTTTCTATCTTCCTTTCCTTTCCTTCCCTTTCCTTTCCTTTCATCTATCTATCTTCCTTTCCTTCCTTCTATCTTCCTTTCCTTCCTTCTATCTTCCTTTCCTTTCCTTTCATCTATCCTTTCATCTATCTTCCTTTCCTTTTCTATCTATCTTCCTTTTCCTTTTCACTTTTTCTTTTTTTCTTTCTTTCCTTTCTTCTATCTTCCTTTCCTTTCCTTTCTTTTCTTTTCATCTATTTTCTATCTTCCTTTCCTTTCCTTCTATCTTCCTTTCCTTTCCTTTCCTTCCCTTTCCTCATCTATCTTCCTTTCCTTCCTTCTATTTCCTTTCCTTCCTTCTATCTCCTTCCTTCTATTTCCTTTTCCTTTCTATCTCTTTCCTTTCTATCTTCCTTTCCTTCATCATCTATCTTCCTTTTTCCTTTCCTTTCCTTTCATCTATCTTCCTTTCCTTTCCTTTTTTCTATCTTCCTTCCTTTCCTTTCCTTCCTTTCCTTTCATCTATCTTCCTTTCCTTCCTTCTATCTTCCTTTCCTTCCTTCTATCTTCCTTTCCTTCCTTCTATCTTCCTTTCCTTTCCTTTCATCTATCTTCCTTTCCTTTCATCTATCTTCCTTTCCTTTCATCTATCTTCCTTTCCTTCCTTCTATCTTCCTTTCCTTTCCTTCCCTTTCCTTTCCTTTCATCTATCTTCCTTTCCTTTCCTTTTTTCTATCTTCCTTTCCTTTCCTTTCCTTCCCTTTCCTTTCATCTATCTTCCTTTCCTTCCTTCTATCTTCCTTTCCTTCCTTCTATCTTCCTTTCCTTCCTTCTATCTTCCTTTCCTTTCCTTTCATCTATCTTCCTTTCCTTTCATCTATCTTCCTTTCCTTTCATCTATCTTCCTTTCCTTCCTTCTATCTTCCTTTCCTTTCCTTCCCTTTCCTTTCCTTTCATCTATCTTCCTTTCCTTTCCTTTTTTCTATCTTCCTTTCCTTTCCTTTCCTTCCCTTTCCTTTCCTTTCATCTATCTTCCTTTCCTTTCATCTATCTTCCTTTCCTTCCTTCTATCTTCCTTTCCTTCCTTCTATCTTCCTTTCCTTTCCTTTCATCTATCTTCCTTTCCTTCCTTCTATCTTCCTTTCCTTTCTTTTCCTTTCTTCTATCTTCCTTTCCTTCCCTTCCCTTTCCTCTATCTTCTTTCCCTTTCTTCTTTTCTATCTTCCCTTCCTTTCCTTTTTTGCATTGAGGGGTGCAATCTGTTCGATAGGATTTTGTATTGCAAATGGTTCCTGGACTCGAAAAATGAGCAGTCCTCTTTTCCGTCTTCTTCTTCTTCTTCTTCTTTTGCTCCCATCTGATGGTAGGTCGGGCCCTGGCCTCCACTCCTCCTTTGTGGTCTTGGTCTTCTCCTGGGCCAGTGGGTGGCTAAGAATTATCCCCCTGTTCCTCGACTCCATAGGGCCACTAATTGGGTCTTCCCGAGGAAGAGGGATTGGGACTCACTCCCACTCTCCTAGACTGCAGGACATTAGGGGAAGTTGAGTGAGTTACTCTTTTTCTTTCTTTTTCTTCCTTCCTTCCTTCTTTCTTTCTCCTCCCTTTCTCTTTCCCTTCTTTCTTTTCTTCCTTCCTTCTTTCTTTCTCCTCTCTTCCTTTCTCTTTCCCTTCTCTTTCTCTTTCTTTTTCTTCCTTCCTTCTTTCTTTCTTTCTCCTCTCTTCCTTTCTCTTTCCCTTCTTTCTTTTCCTTCCTTCCTTCTTCCCTTCTTTTTTTCTCCTCTCTTCCTTTCTCTTTCCCTTCTCTTTCTCTTTCTTTTTCTTCCTTCCTTCCTTCTTCCCTTCTTTCTTTCTCCTCTCTTCCTTTCTCTTTCCCTTCTTTCCCTTCTTTCTTTTCCTTCCTTCCTTCTTCCCTTCTTTCTCTCTCCTCTCTTCCTTTCTCTTTCCCTTCCTCTTTCTCTTTCTTTTTTTCCTTCCTTCCTTCCTTCCTTCCTTCCTTCCTTCCTTCTTTCTTTCTCCTCTCTTCCTTTCTCTTTCCCTTCTTTCTTTTCCTTCCTTCCTTCCTTCCTTCTTCCCTTCTTTCCTTCTCCTCTCTTCCTTTCTCTTTCCCTTCTTTCCTTTCTCTTTCTCTTTCTTTTTCTTTCTTCCTTCCTTCTTTCTCCTCTCTTCCTTTCTCTTTCCCTTCTTTCCCTTCTTTCTTTTCCTTCCTTCCTTCCTTCTTTCTTTCTCCTCTCTTCCTTTCTCTTTCCCTTCTCTTTCTCATTCTTTTTCTTCCTTCCTTCCTTTCTTTCTCCTCTCTTTCTTTCTCTTTTCCTTCCTTCCTTCCTTCCTTCCTTCCTTCCTTCTTTCCTTCTTTCTTTCTCCTCTCTTCCTTTCTTTTTCCCTCCTTTCCCTTCTTTCTTATCTTTCTTTCTTTCTTTCTTTCTTTCTTTCTTTCCCTCTCTTCCTTCCTTTCTCTTTCTCTTCTCCTCCCTTCCCCACTCACAAGATAGCAACACATTGATGTGAGTCTCTCTCTCTCTCCTTCTAATTCAACGAAAAAATACCCATTGTAAGGAAAAGAAAATGGGAAGGTGCACAGTAAACTGTTTAGCTTTCTAGTTAAGAGAATAAGAAATAATTTAGCTAATTTAAATCACATCAAGGCTCCTCCTTCATCCACCTTATCCCCTTTTCCCATTGGTGTCCTCTAGCGCTTTTTTTTTTTTTTTTAGCCCGAGTTGAGACCCATCCTACGAAGACATCAACCATTTTCTGTGAATTCGGTTTAGTGGCTTGTGTGAACTAGTCATTGTGGTTTGTCAGCTTCAGTTTATGGTGGAGAGGGACAACCAACTAGCTCCTTTTTTTTTTAATGTAATGGGAAGACATTGGGATTCCTTGTGTTATATGTCTTTTATTGGGGGGGGGGTATCTTTCCATTTAACAATTTTAGAACTTAAAACCAGGGGATTTGATCCCTGTGGATGTCTATGTATTTAATTTGGCGATTTGTGCCTCAAGATGCCAGCAAGCAAGAGTCAAAAGCTATTCCCACAAGCAACAAATCTCTAACACACATGCTAAGGTCGCAAAGATGGGCCCAGGATGACGGTTTGGCATTATGTCTGAATATATCCAGGGTGACTTATTTAAAAAAAAAAAACACCCAAGGTTAATAGATAAAGGCAGCGTGTGAGATCACCCTTTGCGGTCCTGACTGTAGGTTTTTACAC